TGAAGTTAACCAATGTGGGATTGGGAGGTCAGCAGATTGCATTCAAGTATGACCCTGACACCAAGTGGCTATGAGACTTTACCTGTCTAAGCCTCTGTTTCTCCATCTGTATTAAAAGGAGGATAAGCTGGATGGTTAAATTCTCCCAGCATTCTAGAGTGATAAGTGTCTGGGATCACTGGACTTGTATTTTGCTTTGATTTCAGAATACTTTCTTGCTCTCCAAGTACTAAACCAGGATATGGAAATAATTCTTATCTACTCCTTTACTTATGTTAAACAGACTCAGAAGACCCTTAAGATCAAATAATTCATTCCAAAAATTCTGTGTTGAACAGCATACAAATTCATCTGTCCGTCTTCCCCCCACCCCATTCCCACTTCACTTCCTCCCTCTTGTTGGGCACTTAACTGTATTCCAGCTCCTGTATCCCAATCTAGCAGAAGGAAGAAGTCATGTAATGAGTAGAAGTCGTAAAGATTATATGTCATAAGTCGTCCATGATCTAGTGAGGGAACAAAGGAGGAGGTGGTCAATTTCACCTGAAGAAGCCAGGCAGGGCTAGAATAGAGGAGCCAAAGCTTGAGCTGAATCATGTAAGATGAGTAGATGCTTACTCAGCAGGCAAAATAGTGTGGGGGACATTCAAAGTGGGGGTAATGGCATATACGGGCACAGTGCCATGAAGCAATAAGGCTTGTTCAGGAACATGTCCATCAGAATGCTAGAGCGGAGGGAAGGGGTGGACAAAGAGAGATGGGCAGGGGCCATGATAGGGCCTCACTGTCTGGACATCAGTCCTCAGCTAGAGTTGTCTTGGGTTCATGCTTTCTGTGGTCCTAAAGGTTTCCATTTCATTGCTGTTCTTTTCTCTACTTGGGGATTCCTTCATCTAAAATACTTGGGGCTTCCAAGAGTGGGTGACAGTTTAGATGTACAACAAAGTATATCAAGAGAAAATAAATGCAGTGATTTTGAGTGTATTATTCACCTTCCAGCTGGTCAGTTTTTGCTTTCTGGGCACAAAAGCTCCCCTATAACGTGCAGTTCTGTTTTGACTTTTGCACATCGGGCTTTGATGTATGTTTCTGGGAACACGTTATGTATGAGAGTCAGGGACTGTATTTAGCAAGACGGGGCTCTTTCC